TGGTTCCTGTGGGTCACAGCAGGGGTTGGTGGCCCCTGGGCTGGTTCCTGTGGGTCATGGGGTTATGGGCCCCCGGCCTTGCGGGGGCTGCTCCAGCTCTGCTCTCCCCACAAAAGCAGGCAGGGGATTGCTGGTTGCAGGCACTCCAGAGCACTCAGAGCCCCTTCCCGCTCTGGCCGCCCTCCCCCTGGCACCCCCAGTGTGTGGGGGCTTGTGGCAGAGCCTCTGCAAGTGCAGTTTGTCCTGCACCTGGGCCCCGCCTGGCATGTTTTCTTCCTGCACCCAGATAACTACAATTTGCGGCTCTGTGTGCAGGAGATAATTTCAATACACCTCTCTGGCATGTGGGTGGAGATCCCTGCCCTGGTCTTCATTGCCTTTTAGAAACACGTAAGGAAGGAGGAAGGCTGTGGTTTTTTCGAAATGCAAAACTGCTAGAAAGGCTCGTTTGTTTTAAAAGGAGGGAAGAGTCCTTTGGAAACCAGGCAGTGCCCGCCAAAGACCCGTGTGGGAGAAGACACCACTGCCATGCTGGAGGCCCCTGGACAGTCTGTGCACATAGCAGAGCACGATGCCCTTCCTGCACGGCTTCCGCAGGATCATCTTCGAGTATCAGCCCCTGGTAGACGAGATCTTGGGGCTGCTGGCGATACAGGACGCGGAAAGGCAGAGTGCCCTTGAGAGGTAACTTAGATGGGGCTAAACACCCACTTGGTGGTTTAGGGGGTGATAGCTGGAGCTCAGAGATGCAGCTGAGGTCAGACACAGCACTGGCTGGGAACAAACCCTGGTCCCTGTGAGCAGCTCATCCCATGGACCCTCCTCTCGCTGCTGTTCTTTGGGAACAAGGGGGTGGAGCAGAGCAAACACAGGGACTACATGTGCTCCCCAGGAACAGCCCTTTCTGCCTGACCCATGGCAATAAAACCTAACCTGGGGTTCAGCTGTGACCCTGATGCTGCTGCGTTAACCCCACAGCCAACAGGTCAGAGACCCCGTGGTTACAAGACAAGAGGGGATACCAGGGATTTTTCTTTTTCCGTGGTGCTGCTTTGACCGTTGCACACCCGTGAGGTGTGTGCCATTCAGCTGAGTAACCTGTTGCTTTTGTGTGTTTTAAGCCCTGCCTGTCTGGGCAGTGATAGGAGCCAGCTCTCGGCTGTGAGACGAGTCTTGGAAAGGGAGACCCACTCCCCGTTTTATCAGGAAGGTGTGAGCTATGCCCTGCTGAAGGTCACCGAGCTGGGGCTCGTCCCCGCTGCAGAAATCCTGCTGGAGTTCGGAGCTGACCTCAGCTTTGAAGGTGAGGCTGGTGAGGAGGGGGCTGGGTCTGGGTCTGTTCCTTCGGGCTGGCTGGGAGGAACCGGCTGGTGAGAAGCCGCCGTGGGAGGCGGTGATAGCTGGGGCAGAAAGAGGGGATGCTGCCAGCTCAGCCACCCACTCTGCTGGAGTAGCATGGATGTGCTTTGTGCCAGCCCTTGTCCAGACCCAGCCACAGGGATGGACTGGGGGATGGCCAGGGGCTTGGGGGCCAGTTTGAACCTCTGAGGAGTTTTGCCTGAGACGGAACCATTGCAAAAGCACGACCTGGTGTGTCTGTGACAGCCCTGTTTTCACAGGCACCGCTGTGTTCTCAGGACCCTCCCCAGCTGCCCCCTTCCACTTTGGCAGTTGTCAGGGCCCTTCTGGGGAAGCCCTTAGCTCTCTCTGACTCTGTGATTTTTGTCCTCAGATCCAGTCACCTACTACACCCCCCTGCACATCGCAGTGCTCCGCAACCAGCCGGATATGGTGGAGCTCCTGGTGCGCCACGGGGCTGACATCAACCGCAGAGACCGGGTATGGGCGTAGCTGCCTGGGCACAGCCAAGCTGAGTCCCCTCGAGACTTGGCTGCAAGAGGCTGGCGTGTGGGGGTAGCCCTCCTGGGCTTTGCTGCATGCCGCTTCCCCTTGGTGACCTCTATAGCGTTCTGATGCTGTGTTCAGGTTGCCTTTGGCTGAGCAAACCTGCCTCTGCGGTGGAGTGATGGGTGGGAGGAGGCTGGGGTAGACAGACCTCTCCCTGTGGACACACCAGGGAAGGTTCACTTTGATTTTTGGGGATGGGTTGAAATATGCTCTTACGTTGGCCATCATGAAGCCCCAGCAGTGACTCTCCAGAAGCGCTCACAAATAGTCTTTAATACTTGCTAGTGGTTTTTTTTTGCTCTTGCTCTGTGCAGATCCATGAGAGCAGTCCCCTCGATCTGGCCAGCGAGGAGCCCGAGCGGTTGCCGTGCCTCCAGCGGCTGCTTCAGCTGGGGGCCGATGTCAATGCAGCTGACAAAAACGGTTCGTGTGCCCCATCTGGCTCCCCTAGCCTGGGTGCTCCCAGCAGTCAGCCCTCATGGGTGGGCTAGAGCAGGGCACAGGGTCCGGGTCCTTCCGTCTTGCTGCTGCAAGTGCTCTCAGGTTGTAAACTGACTGGTTTGGAAATTGGGTGCAGGCCGCAGAACCTCCCTGGTGCTCTGTGCTTTCTCCTTGTACGTTGGCTAGGTCAGGTGCGGAACATGGCTGAAAACAGTTCTGTGCGGTCCATGCGGTGGGATGGGGCCGTGTCTACGTAGGCCTGTGCTGCCCGCGCACTCTAAACCCCGCTCTGCCATGGCACGTGTGCCCTTTGGGGCCACCACCAACCCTGCATGTGTGGCCTGTGACCCTGTCCCCACAGCTGTGCACCATCATGGGGACAGCGGGAGCCTGCCAGAAGGGGAAGGGCTGTCTCTCCTCATGTTTGGCTGTCTGGTTGGTGGGGTGGATTGTTTTCCTCCCTGCCTTTTGGGGTGACACCCCATTTTCATCTGACCGACCGATTGCTCCATTGCAGGAAAGACAGCGCTGTTGCACGCCCTGGCCAGCAGCGACGGTGTCCAGATCCACAACACAGAGAGCATCCGTCTCCTGTTGGAAGGAGGTGAGGGCAACCTTCTCCCTTCTCCATGCACAGTCCCTCCAGGCCTAGCGCTGGCTGATTCTTTGTACAGCACCGGGCACAGCCCTCTCAACTCCTTTATGTTCCCACTTGAGCAAGAGTAAAGCCTAGCAGTGCCAGAGTTTGTGCTGCCCTGGCCTTGCTGTCTGCAATGCCAGTTACGTTCTCTGTCCCTTCCTCCAGGCGCGGATGTCAGAGCCACCACCAAAGACGGTGACACTGTCTTCACCTACGTCATCTTCCTGCTGGGAGAGATGGTGTGCAGCAGCGCTGAGGAGGCACAGGTGATCAATCGCTTCTGCTTTCGTGTCACACAGCTGCTGCTGGCCCACGGTGCCAACCCCAGCGAGTGCCCGGCCCCCGAGTCCCTCACCCACCTCTGCTTCAAAAGCTTCAAACGCCACTTCCCGCTGCTGCGTTTCTTGCTGGAGTCGGGTGCTGCCTACAACTGCTCCCTCCACGGTCCCTCGTGCTGGTCAGGCTTCCACATCATCTTCGAGTGCCTCTGCTCGCACCTCAGTGTCTCTGAAGATGACAGCTTCTCTACAGACCTCATCCAGAAGGCTCAGACTCTGCTGGAACTCATGATGGCCAGTTCACAAGCCATCCAGCTGCCCAGCAACTTTGAGGTCAACACCAGCAGCTGTAGGTACCACGGGGAGAAGATCAGGACTCTCTTCTGCTCTCTGAAGCAGCTGGAACGCTCCCCACAGGCATTGAAACATCTCTGCAGGGTGTTTATCCGGCAGCGCCTTAAACCATGGCCAGTAGATGTCAAAATCAAGGCTCTACCTCTTCCAGACAGGCTGAAGTGGTACCTCCTCATTGACCACGCTGCTGCCGAGCAGGAGGACCTCTGAGCCTGACTAATTAATGCCTCTCCGTCTCCCCTGCTCCATGGCTGTGGTGTGCCTACAGCCACTAAATCTCTGCTCTGGGCCAGTTTTCTCTGCAAAAGGTGGACTGTCCACGTGCTGTCCATGCGCCCACGGCTTGGCTGGTGCCGCCCACGGTGTCTGTCTCTGCTGGGTTTTTTGGTGGGGGGGTGCTTTTTTGAGCATGATGCTGCATACGTGTCTGTGGAGGCCTCGTTGCTGTGGGGCACATCACGGGGAGGTGGGCAGAGCCCTGTGGCTCCTTGGGGGTGAGCAGAGCTTCTGGGCATCGGGTAGCCGGATACTGGGGCAGAAGGCTGGTTTGGGTGGATTTTGAGGAAAAAGCCTGGGGGCCGGGACCAGTTGGGGTGGTGTTACTGGACAGGCAGCCTGTCCCCTCTCTTTGCAGCCTTGCCGGGTCCAGGGTGGGTGAAGCAGTGCCTTAGGCGAGCGGCGGAGTCGTGAGATGCCTCGGGGTGCTGGGAGGTGTTCCCTGTGCCAGGAGAGCCCTGCCATCTCTGTCCTGGTTTCCTGCCTTTGGTCCTGCTGGTGGGAGCAGCCATGGTGGAGGCAGGTCCAGCATCTCCACATGGATGTGGGTGCCTTCCTCGCTCACGCAGACTTCTGAAACCAGGAGCGTGATGGGGGCGAGGGGAAGGGGGGCTGGCAGCGGTGGCCAGCTGCTCAGCACCCTCTGAGTTTCTGCTGGGAGCATCCTATCCTGCTGGCACAGAGGACCATCCACCAAGGACATCTCGGAGATGGGCTCCAAAACAAACAGACAAATGGATGTTTCCTGGCTTTGTGGTGTGTTCCCTGCGCAAAGAGAAGGAATGGGCGGCTAACTGCTGAGTGCCTTGTGCCTCCCTCTGTGT